TTCCGTGGACAATGCATTAACGAGTCATAATTTAAGTTTTTATTCATTTTATTATGCAAAACGTAGAGTGCTACACTCTGGAGACACCGTCTGAAAAGTTCATATACATTAGAACTCATCAATATTCATGTTTACCTCAAATAAGGTCTGTCCACGGAGAGCCTATTTAGGTACCGTCAAGTAAGTTACAGGTGTCACTTGCTGATGTTGGGAATTGGAGTTGGATTTTGGTGAGTTTCACCACTGCATGCCCACCCGTAACTTATTTGAAGGGGCCTCCACAGGGTTTACGTGGACAATGAGTTAATAGGTCATATGTCATAAATACAATGATTTTATCTAGTAATACCAGCTTTACAGTGCTCAGGAAACACCGTCCAGCAGATTCATGTATGTCGGAGCTCGTGAAATGGCTTAATTTGCATAAAAAATGCACCGTCACGGAAAGCCTGTGGAGGCCCCGTCAAATAAGTTACAGCCGTCACTTGTCAATTGCCCACCCTTAACTTATTTGACGGGGCTTCCACAGGCTTTCCGTGGACAATGCATCAGCAAGACATAATTTAAATTTATTATCATTTTATCATGCAAAACGTACAGTGCTACACTCTGGAATCACTGTCTGACAATTTCATATACATTACAACTCATCAACTTTCGGTGGACAATGCGTTAATAAGTCATATTTCATGAATGCGATGATTTCATCGGCTAACACCTACAGTACAGTACTCAGGAAACACCGTCCGGCAGTTCCGTGTGCATCGGAGCTCTTAAAATGGCATAATTTGCATAGAAACGACTCGACCATCTCTAACTTATTTGACTTTTTTTTTTTTTAATGGGATAGATTGCACGTGGGACGTCCAGGATCTCAGCTTCTGGACGAGCTGTCCGGCTCAAACCCTGTTCCGTGGCTACTCTGGACACGCCCTGTCTATGCTGTGAATTGTGAAAAGATCCGAGAAACTCAAAATTTTACACTACCCTAAAAGGGGCTATGACTTTTGGACTGGTCTCCTGTAAACAGGTCTGTATGTAACTCTCCATGTCCAAAGGCATCCTTGACAGTCCATCAGCATCCCGGTGTGTGCGGCCTGGTCTATATTTGATGGTAAAATTGTAGTCAGCTAACTCTGCTATCCATCGGTGGGTGGTGGCATTGAGCTTGGCTGTGGACAACACATATGTCAGCAGGTTGTTGTCTGTTTAGACCACAAAGGAAGTTGTGTGATAAAGGTATTCCCGGAATCGCTCACAAATGGCTCATTTCATTGCAAGGAATTCCAGTTTCCCAGAGTGCAAATGATAATTCTTCTCGGGAACCGTTAGTGTCCATGATCCATAGCCAATCACCACCAGCTTCCCTTGCTGCCTCTGATATAGTACGGCACCCAGTCCGTCTTGTGATGCATCACAATGCAAGATGAAGGGCTGTTCGAAATCAAGGTAGCCTATGATCAGAGGGTGAAGCAAGAACTCAAGCAGCTGGTTGAGGACATTCTGGTGTTGTTCTGTCCAAATTATAGACTGACTGGAATTAAGTTGTGCTGGTTTTCTCCCTTTTCCCACACCCTTCCTCCAGATTTCCCCTTTACCACCTGCCACCTTTCCTGGAGGCTTTCCTGCTGACAATAGTTCATAGAGGGGTTTGGCAATTTGGGAAAAACTGGGAATATATGTGCGATAATATGACAAGAACCCCAGCAGTTGTCTCAGGTCACCTAGAGTCTTAGGCTTACGGTCTCTTAGTGCTTGTACGGGTGCAATTTCTTTGGGGTCCATAGTGTAGCCCCCTTTAGAGACTATTTTACCCAAGAACTTTACCTCAGCCCTGAATAATTCACACTTCTTAGATGTGAGCTTCACCCCATGTCTCTGGTAACGGCGTAACACTTCTCTGACATCCCAGAGATGCTCCTCAAATGTCTTACTGTGCACAAGGTTATCATCCAAGTATGGAAGGTAGGTGTCATCCCTTAGTCCCGCTAAACATTCCTCCATACTCCGCTGGAACTCGGCGGGGGCGGAGGACAGCCCAAAAGGGATCCGGACCCATTCATAAAGGCCCCAAGATGATATGAAAGCTGTGTATGGTCGGCTGCCCTCCTCCATGAACCCCTGATGATATGCCTTCCCCTGGTCCAGGACTGACAACCATGCACTCCCACTTAAACTGTTTAGCATGTCCTGTACCCGTGGAATAGGGTGACGGTCTGGGATGGATTTGCGGTTGAGCTCGCGGTAATCTATACAGAGGCGTAAACTACCGTCTTTCTTCCGTACACAGACGACTGGAGATGCATAAGAGGAGCGAGACTTTGAATCCATCCTTTATTCAAAAGGTCTTCCAAATATTCTTTCACCTCTTTATGTAGTGGTGTTGGCACGGAAACGTAAGTACACTTTACTAGAGACATGTCACTTCACCGGATTTTCATTTGGAGGGATGGGATGTACCCCACATCATTCTCATCCTTCGAGAATGCTGCATACTCCTCCCTCAGCAGCTGCTTAACTTTTCCCTGTTGCTCTGGTGTGAGATGATCAATTGACACTGGTGGGTCCCACAGTTTTTCATTAGCATCCTGACCTGTTTTTTCAAACCCATTCAGGCTTGTCACATCCTTACTTTCAGTGACCACTACTCCTACCACACTATCACCACTGTTAGTTCGATCTGACTCTACAATAGCAGGTTTGGTGTCTGCTGGATAAATGGCTCTGACTTGCTGTACTCGTCCTAGTATAGTGCGGGGAGCAAGCATAATGCCCACATTGCTGATGTTGGTTACTAGGATGTGAACTTTTGTCAAGTTTCCCTTCTGAAGACTGATTACCATTCTAGCTACATCCAATCCCTCAGGCCATTGTGGAATAACTTCTGGCTCAAACAGGACTTCCTGCTTTGAAACACAAGGACCAGCCCTGGATTTTCATTTGGAGGGATGGGATGTACCCCACATCATTCTCATCCTTTGAGAATGCTGCATACTCCTCCCTCAGCAGCTGCTTAACTTTTCCCTGTTGCTCTGGTGTGAGATGATCAATTGACACTGGTGGGTCCCACAGTTTTTCATTAGCATCCTGACCTGTTTTTTCAAACCCATTCAGGCTTGTCACATCCTTACTTTCAGTGACCACTACTCCTACCACACTATCACCACTGTTAGTTCGATCTGACTCTACAATAGCAGGTTTGGTGTCTGCTGGATAAATGGCTCTGACTTGCTGTACTCGTCCTAGTATAGTGCGGGGAGCAAGCATAATGCCCACATTGCTGATGTTGGTTACTAGGATGTGAACTTTTGTCAAGTTTCCCTTCTGAAGACTGATTACCATTCTAGCTACATCCAATCCCTCAGGCCATTGTGGAATAACTTCTGGCTCAAACAGGACTTCCTGCTTTGAAACACAAGGACCAGCCCTCACTCCACACTTCACCATGTTTGTCTGTCCTGCTGCAACTACTGTAGTAATTCGTCCAACTTTCACTACTCACACTATTTTGTATCATTCGTATCAATACAACAGCTTTTTTGCAGTCACAGGAGAAAGCTTCCTTTACCACTTCTGGGATAACATCAGGGTGCTGCTCCATTCCCTCTGTCACCAGATGTTGAATAACATTGTAGCCAATGATTGGGGGCTGCCCCACGCCTTGTTCATTTGAGACAAGCACAGGCACCAAGAGTTCTGCCTGGGACCCTCTTTTCGGCCCTAGTTGGAATTTCAGCTCCACCCATCCAGAGAAGGGTATATCGGTTTGGTTTGCCGCTCGGCCAATGAGTGTTTCACCTTCTTCCAGCAGCTCACTCAGGCTGCGTGTCTCAATGTGAGGAAAGCAAGTTTTCTTCCATTCCTCATTGATGATGGTCACCTGCGATCCAGTGTCCCAGAGCGCCTGCATAGGCATGCCTTCAAAGAAGCAGTCAACCATACAACTTGGACCAATGAGGTTCTCCAATCTCGCTTTATGTCGCAAGGGTATGTGGTTGGCATAGGTGGTAGCTCTAGCATGCTCTGTTTTTCCTCTTTGCTCTAGCTCCGCCTCCAGCTGTTTAATCCTTTGCCGCAGGAGCTCTTGAGTTTTCTCTTGTGATCCACTGTAACCCAAGATAGAGGCTGAGCTGTCTGGTCTCATGGAATGAACAGATATTTTTACATCGCTCCTACCTTCTTCTGGATTATTTGGTGCTCTACAGCCCCGGGCAGCATGACCCACAACTCCACATCTGAAGCAGTGTTCACATCGATTCTCTTCACCTTTTTCCGCTCTGTTTTTCCTCTTTGCTCTAGCTCCGCCTCCAGCTGTTTAATCCTTTGCCGCAGGAGCTCTTGAGTTTTCTCTTGTGATCCACTGTAACCCAAGATGGAGGCTGAGCTGTCTGGTCTCATGGAATTAACAGATATTTTTACATCGATCCTACCTTCTTCTGGATTCTTTGGCGCTCTACAGCCCCGGGCAGCATGACCCACAACTCCACATTTGAAGCAGCACATCGATTCTCTTCACCTTTCTCCTGACACGCTCTGCATCCCTTTCTGTAGCTGGATCTTCCTCTTGTCATACGTTCCAGAGGGTTGTTTTGATTTTTCCTGAGTTTTGCAACTTCCTCTCTCAGGAGTTTAACCATCTCATATAACCCTGTTTCCCTCTGCCCCTCCACTGCTGGTGTCTCTCTGCATTTTCGCCTGACTATATCACTTGACTGTTCTTGAACCAACACTTTGGCAGTCATTTCATCCTGTCTGCATGGATGAGCCTGCATTTCTGGACAGAGTGTGCGTACTTTTGTGACTTTACTCCCCATGTTCTTCTTTTGTTTATTTAGTCTGTCTAACTCATCACCAGCGGCTTCATTCATTTTGTTTATCAGTATTTCATCAGAGATCTTTGAATCATCCAAGTACAGCCTTAGCTGAAATTTAATATGATCACTGATCAGCCCTGTGCCAACAGAGTATAGAAATTTCTTCTGAACATGCTCTGTACTGAAGCATTCACCACCTTCTTCACAAGTGTGCAGCAGCTTCTCTTTTAACTCAATGGCTCTGAATAGAAATGCTTGTGGAGATTCATTGGCATTTTGAGTGATGTTCAATAATTTGTAATACAGGTCAGTAGAACTGTCCTCCTTGAAATGTCCCTTCAGTATTGTTCTCAGCTGTGATAGAGTGAGATCTCTCTTGATTTCAAGCATATTGCGTAGACTCAATCCTGGGCTAATAGCTTTTATTACGGCTTCAATAATTTCTGCTTCACTATGGCCTCTTCTCAATCCTCTGTCCACCTGGTGCATCAAATTAGTGAATGACAATTTATCTTTTTGTCCGCTCTCTCCAATTTGACCACAGACCTTGAAATCCCTCCTCACAGTGACTTCAGGGGCAAGGCAAGTAAATGGTTGCTGTTCTAGGGGCCGATTTTGTTCAATTTTATCCTCTTTCCCTTTTATTTTTACCATTTTATCTCTCATCTCAGTATTTTGTGTGTCCAGTTGAAAGTGACTTTGCTGTAAATCTGTCTCATTCACAGAATACGTTTCAGCCCGTGAAATGCCTGTCGCATTTTTATTGTTGAATCATCCAAGTACTGAAACGTATTCACAGAATACGTTTCAGCCCGTGAAATGCCTGTCGCCATTTTCTTCGTCTTCTCTCTCTCCCTGTGCCTCCATGAACGTCAATATTGACAACAGAAAATGCTTTGCTACGTCTTCTTCCTCGCTATCAATCACAGTATCGATCGACTCCGTAATTCTCTTGATAAGTGTGCGCTTAGTAGGGGCGTTTTCGAGAGAGATTTTGTTACAATCACATACCTCTTTCACTTGATCGAGCCGCAAAAGCCACAGTCTCTCCGTTACACTTTCAGCCAGGGCTTCCAGATCCATCTCGCTCTGATATGCACCCGCTACTCGGACGAGAATCTCCGCTCTCCCGCTGGCTCGCTGGCTCTCTCTCTCATGTCCCCTTTGGCTCGCACTTCTTACAAATCCCAGAGGTGCTTCCAAGTTTGTTGCATGCCGAAAGTAATGAAGTTCCAGGCGTGCTTAATTTGATGGGTTCCTTTTTAATGTTGTTCACGGCTTACATTTATTCGCATTACACAAAATCTGCGTGCCCCTTTTTCACCATCACAGCTAACTAAAACTCTCGCTTCCTCTTCACGCGCAGGCGCACTCTCCTGTAAGTTCGCTAAAACAACATGCCTGCTTGAGCATTACTCATAATAAATTAAGCAGGATTTTATGCTTTTGCACCAACATTTTTAACCACATTTTGTGAATTAACCCCATCATAAATTTAGAAACATAACTATCCAAATGAACTATACACAATAAAATAAATACATATGGGGGGGGGCACTCTCTCTATAACCATTAACATCGCAGGGAATGTTATTATCAGTCCCACACTCTCCCCTCCAAAAATGAATGCCGTCTCGGCATTCCATCATTCCAATCATCACTGTCTTGAACATTAGAGCAAAGTAGTACATAAGGGAGTCAGTCTCAATACTTGATGCTAATTTGTCTTGCAAGTGTCTTCTCGTGACATCTATCTCCCCCTTCATGTCATCCGCTGGAGTAGACACCACTGGCCACATGATGTCTGAAAGGTTGCTCCGTCATGCGACGGGCCACACATCAAGTGCTGAAAAGTTGGAACCTTTGACATACTCTATGCTCTATCAACCGACCCACATACAAGCTGTTATGACTGCATCACTATATTTTAGCCATTTATGTGTCACTGTCTGTATGTATTAAATAAAACCATCTAACGAACTTCCTCTTAATTATGAACTTTATTAACTGTCTTATGACGTCACATTGCGAAATCAAAAACCTCTATGTGTGGGAGAGGGTTTGCCTAATGTATCATATGTCAGTGTTGTGGGTGGATGTCTTTGTCTTAAAGGATACTTTCTCTGTGGCAGGCGAGTTGCTGCTGAGCTGACGTCATCTGCTTAATCTGAAGAGGTCACCTGCCCCCCTTCTGCCATCTCATCTTCATCTTCCACTTCATTTGCAAATGCTTCAGAGTTTCTGTCCTCTTCATCACACATGGGCAGTACATGCTCACCATCTGACTCCTGATACAATACTCCTTCCGTAGCTTTTAATTGGAGCTCATCCTCCTCAGGTCCCAGCTGGCTTTTGATGGGTTCCTTTTTAATGTTGTTCATGGCTTACATGTATTCGCAGTACAGAAAATCTGCGTGCCCTTTTTCCACCATCACAGCAAACTAAAACTCTCGCTACTTCTTCACGCGCGGGTGCCTCCTCCTTTTTCCTTTTCTTTCGCGGACGCCCTCTCCTGTAAGTTCGCTAAAACAACATGCCTGCTTGAGTATTACTCACAATTAATTAAGCAGGATTTTATGCATTTGCACCAACATTTTTAACCACATTTTATGAATTAACCCAATCATAAATTTAGAAACATAACTATCCAAATGAACTATACACAATAAAATAAATACATATGGGGGGGGGCACTCTCTCTATAACCATTAACATCGCAGGGAATGTTATTATCAGTCCCACATATACACAGAGCAGGTGATTGCTGAGGGCCCCGGGCTTCGAGGAGGGGCCTCCATTATCCCCTATACACCATTCCAGCAGTCAAGACAGACAACAAAATACTGGCCTCTTTGTTCATTGGATATTGTTGAATTGTCACCCTGCAATTAAACCAATTAATGTTGCCGTTTCAAAGCGGTCCCGCCGTCTGAATGTTTGCTGTAAGGAGCACATCCTTCAGGTGCTGAAGCTAAAGGCTAAATAGGCAAGAAAAAAAAGAAGTTCAGCTCCCAATGCAGGTGTGTGAGTTGTCATCATCTATTTTGGAGTTATTGCAGAGTATTCTAAATATAAACTTGTTCTGTCGATCACTGCTCAGATGTATCTTCTGAATTCTGCTAATGATTATGTAAGGCAGTGTATTGTGTTATCCACAAGATGTGGCTATAACACAGATTCACCTTTAGCACTGTTTGTCGATACGTGAGTAGTGCGCCATCTGCACTTTCAGTTCACGTTATCAACTCTACAGTCATGGCCAAAAGTTTTGCAAAGTTTGCTGCTTCAGTATTTGTAGATAATTTTTCCACATGTTTCTATGGTATACTGAAAAACAATGATAAGCATATCATAAGTTTTAAAGGCTTTTATTGGCAAAAAATATAATGAGTCAATATTTACAGTGTTGACCCTTGTTCTTCATAACCTCTGCAATTCGATCTGGCATGCTGGATATTAGCTTCTTGGCCAAATCCTGACTGATGGCGATCCATTCTTGCTTGATTAGTTCTCAGAGTTGATCACAATCTGTGGGCTTCTGCTTGTCCACTCACCTTTTGAGGACTGACCACAGGTTCTCTATGGGATTGAGATCCGGGGAGTTGCCTGGCCACGGACCCACAATTTCAATGTAATGATCTTCGAGCCACTTCTTTATCACTCTTGCTTTGTGACATGGTGCTCCATGATGCTGGAAAATACACGGATCATCACCGAATTGCTCATGGATCGCTGGAAGAAGTCTCTCTTGCAGGACATTTTGATACCATTCTTTGTTCATGGCAGTGTTTTGGGCAGAATCATGAGAGAGCCCACTCCCTCGCTTGAAAAGCAACCCCACACATGGATGGTCTCAGGATGCTTCACTGTTGACATGATTTTACCTGACTAGTGCTCATTCACACTTTCACATGTGCTGCTGATATGATTAGTCAATTAATGTTTGCTGGTCATTTTGTGTCAGGATCAAAAAACAGTGAAATTAGTTTTTTTTGTGAAAAGTTCATTTTTTGGCCAATGAAGCTTTTAGCAATTATTTAAAATGCATCTGATCACTCCACACAATAATCTAGAAACAATGGGAATGAGCAGCAAACTTTGCAAAATACAACATTTATGTCACTGCTAAAACTTTTGGCCATGATTGTAGACTGTTTCTCTAAGTTTGGATTAAAGACTCTTGTTGCCTGATAATTTGTCTCCCTGAGCTTTTGATACAGGATGGAGTTCCAGTATGTTTCTTGGAATAAGGTATTTTTTTCCTCCATGAAATACATGTTTAATATCTTTGCTAGTGCGTTTGTTTGTAAATGATCTAAGGATCATTAAATGCAAATTGTGTGTGTTTATGGGATGTTGTTGTGAAAAAGCTAACATTGTCTTTATGACTTTGTATGCTAAAACGTGTACGTTATTTGAACGAATGATTTGACATCCCAAACGTTTTCCAGCTGTGTGTGGAGTTTAAAGATGCTCCCTTAAGCTCTACAGGTGAGCAGTGACGCCATCATTGTTTTCCGCATCACAAATAAAAGTGAAAGTAAATGTTCAGAGTTGATGTTTCTCCATTTAAACAGCCAGAATCGCTTCTATACGGAATATGTTTCATAGGAACCTTTATAAAAGCTAAGCCATGATTAACGTGCAGCTGCTTCATAGAAATCCGGTGATTTTGTGAATCTGTGTAAATAAGGTGAGTGCTGATGCTCAGGTGCTTTACAGTGACTTCCGCATTCATATCTCCTCTAAATGACGTTTAGTTTTATATGTTTAATACTTTCTTTTTCAAGCAGATGAGCGTGGTTTGGTTGGTGTGTGGTGTTGTCTGTGGTGTATTTGATCATTTGTTAACACACGACTAACATTGTGTATCTGAGTGAACGCCGCGTCTCATCATCTGTTGCTCTCAGGATCCGTTCAGCTGAATTATTGAGTTTGTTTCTCATTTCTATTCAGAGTCAGTGCTGGAGATCAGATTCTGCTTCATCATGGATGACACACAAACATCCACAGATGAAGATCGTTCTCCAGGATGCAGGTACTTTGAATAAACTCTGTATTAAATCACATTGAATGATGGTAGATGGGAGTCTCCAATGTGTTTGTGTGTTAAAATAAAGATTTTATTATTATTTGTTTTAAGTCAAAAAGCCTCCTCATGGAGTGTTTTTGATGAAAAATACTTCAAGACCTTAAAAGAAAATGATTATCATCATAAAGGATTAAATCTGTTTTTATTATAGCCCAGTTCAGCTGAAGAGATCAGAAGCAGAGCCCAGCTGTGTGTCTGTGAGGAGTGACAAGTCTGTGGGTCGTATAATATCATTTAAGAAAGGAGATACAAAGACTGATCTCGGGTACATTTTTATATAAATATTAGGAAACACTTTTTATAAGAAAACTTATGGTGTATCATCTCATGAATATTCAAACAGTTTTAATGTAGTATAATATTGACTTATTTGTGGTTATAGCTTTTAAGAGTATGATGATTTATAACACAATGAACAAGTTGCATCCACTTAAATTACACTGGATTATATTTCTCATAGTTATAATGTATTATAAGTCTCATATATTGCCATGCAATTTATTTTACTTTACTTAAAGCAGACAAAGACCACTTATAAGTAATAATAATAATATATTTTTTTCTCCAACAGCAATAAGATCAGATGAATCTGTAATATGACCAAGGTTGTAGTTTTTAAATAAAATATATATTATATTATTTAGGCACTTACAAGCTATAGTATGGAACGATATTCCGGACAATTTTCAAATAGAATAGCAAATTGTATTTTCAATTGCGTTTTCAATATGTGGACGCATAAATTGTGACATAATCCAAATGCAATTGCAAATCCTGCATTAGCGTTTGCATTTTCGCTTTCACGAACGCACAGCTACGGCCAAATTTCAAATGAAAAAGCAAAGTCCATTTGCAGCTGTATTTCCCATGTCTTAGGAGTTATGAGCCTGTCATATTTAAATAGCAATGGGAAATACAGCTGCAAATGGACTTTGCTTTTTCATTTGAAATTTGGCCGTCGCTGTGCGTTCGTGAAAGCGAAAATGCAAACGCTAATGCAGGATTTGCAATTGCATTTGGATTATGTCACAATTTATGCGTCCACATATTGAAAATGCAATTGAAAATACAATTTGCTATTCTATTTGAAAATTGTCCGGAATATCGTTCCATACTATAGTTTGGCAGCATGTTCTAATTCAACATGCCATGGGAATCAAACTAACTTAACATGTTCTTAAATTTATATTGTTTATTTCTTACTCCTTGACAGTTCATCAGACTGTTAATGATTTAATCTGTGCCATCTCTTGAATAACTGAAGGTCAGGTTTTTCCATCACTCATCATTTGAACCCATTTTACACATGGCTCTCGATTCTGACTTATACTTGCTCTTGTGAAAATGTACCATAGTTCTTTACCAGGCCAACAATTACTTTTTTATTTTTTATTAATCTATATAGCATTTGTTAAGAAAAACAACAGCCTGTACATTTAGAAACAAAAGATTAAAATAAATCTATAGGGAAAAATAGTTTGAATTGTTAAAACATGTTTGATATTTACGATTTGAGTTTGGGGGCACTGTCTCGATCGGGAGCAGTTAAATAATTGTAATGTCACCAAACAATAGAGGATTTTTTTTGGATACAAAATCTTTTTGACAAGCCTCGAATCGGGCCACACCCCCCCGATCGTTCGGGGGTGCAAATCTGCCTTAAAATCGTCTTTGGCCACTCTTGAGTTTACATGTAGTTGCAAAGTTGCTTATAGTCAATAGACTAAGGGGACCATCAAAACAAAATGTAACCTTATTTTATATATATATATATTGTAACGGGGTGGAAGGAACACGCGACAAGGAGAGCTCAAATAAATACCCCGGAGGGTGGATTTATTCCCAGGGAATGTGCTTAAGTGAGTGCGCTGTGTCCTGAGGTGAGTCGAGGCTTCTCCGTGCGTGAGTCGGTGCTTCTCCGGGAGCGTGATCCAGTGTCAGTGAGTCCGTGCGGCGCTTTTTCAGTTGAAAGTATTATAAATGAGCTTAAACTAGCTCACATCAAAATTAACATTAGCCTCACAGGAAACACTCAAAAATCACTCCGTACCAAACCACTCACAAGATGTAGTAAGATACTGTGCAGATCTATATAAACAAGGTTAAGATATGATAGTCCATTATAAATGAAGTTAAATGAGTTTGATTTTAATATGGTGTTTATTGTGTGTTATAAATGATCATATGTACTCTTAAAAGTAGGGTTGGGCGTTATCACTAATTATCGATAACGATAATTATCACCATATAATTTTCCTCGATAACATGATATGAAGAGTTCGATAAATGTTCGATATATCGTTTATGCGCCAAAAGTGGAACGAAACAGCACTAATTATTTGAAGCGCGAGCTGACCAGAGCAGATGCGTTTACTCGGTCACGCGACACTAAACAGCGCTGTGAGATCCAGTGTGAAACGCTTGAATCAAAGTCCCTTTAAGGGAAGTCAATTCACTCGGAGGCCATCTTTGAAATGCCTCTCGGGCATGCAAGTGCAGCTCCTATCTCTTTAAATGGGGAAACATCAAATTCTCCAAAACTGTTCACTAAGCTTATGATTAAAGTTCATATTTGAAATCACTAATGAAATCTGACAACAACTTTGTCATAACTGTTATTTATTTTGCTCAAATAGCATTAAAAAAGCTTATTTTTCAGGCTAGACCCGCCAGTGTGCATGCACAGTCCTGACCGCGCGTCTCAGAACGCTGACTGTTTCTATAGCAGCCAGGACTTCTGACCGCAGCTGCAGACTTCACTGATTAGTGATTGGCTCTTTTACTCAGAAGGCAGGGCTTCGTTCGATAGCGCGGCCATATTGAGCGTTGCATTTTTCCCCATTCAAAACTATACGAGTGACACGTCTTGGGTATTCTATAATAGTCTTTGTTTGAAATCAGTGAAGAACACAAATGGCTCAGTGATTTAAACTAGTTTAAAGTCAGATGAAACAGTGCTGACAGACAGCAGAAACACTGTGCAACGATACAGTCAGAAGGCATTTCAATCTACATATTGCCATCATTTACCATGGATTTACTATAGTAACACTAACTGCATCACGGTACTGTCAGAAATGTGGGTATTTGTATCGAACATTATTATATTATTAATGTAGACATGCATTAAATGTATTAAAGGAGTTATGGTATATAATTACAGCATTTGTGTGATTAAGCTATAGCATGTGTGCATTTAGCCTATACGAAATGTTTTTATACCTAAAAACCATATAGTTCTATTTTTACCATGGTATTGAGGTGTGCTATATGTGTGGTTTAAAACCTGTTTTGTTGTAGCTCATTTCAGCAGAAGAGATCAGAAGCAGAGCCCAGCTGTGTGTCTGTGAGGAGTGACGCGTCTATGGGTCGTATAATATCATTTAAGAAAGGAGATACAAAGACTGATCTCCGGTACATTTTTATATACATTTTATTATAGCATGTCATTTTATATCATCAAAATACTGTATATAGTATTTTCTACATATGAGACATTATTCTTGTACATTGCTAATAGAATTTTTGTTATCTTTATCTGGTATTTTAACATACATTATATGGACAAAAGTATTGGGACACCTCCTTCTAATGAACATGTTTGACTACTTTAGTAATTTCCATGAGCACAAATCTTAATGTTTAAACATATAATGATAGTCTAGGGAATTGTGTGCTTCTAATTGTATAGCAACAGTTTGGACAGGACCCTTTTCTATTCTAACATGACAATGCCTCTGTGTATAAGGCAAGGTTACAAAAAAAGATTGATTCAGTCAGTGTGTTAGAACTTGACTGTTCTGCAGAAACCTTTGGTGTGACTTTAAATGCAGACCTTGAGCCAAAAACTCATCACCAAACAGCAATGACTTGTACATATGGGTACAGTCATTTTAGACTCTTCCAAAACTGTTGCAACAAAGATGGAAATAAACATTTTAAATACATGAATTATGCAGACCAAATTACTAAAGTAGTCAAACCTGTTCATTAGAAGGAGGTGTCCCAATACTTACGGCAATATAGTGTTTCAAAGAGAGCTGCGTTTGTGAAAGCACTCAGTTCTATTTAACTTTATTTATCTTTTGTAATGAAATTGTGTAAATTAAATGACCATGAAGGGCTCTTTAAAGTAATTGTTTAAATAATAAATTAAGATGTACTTTGTTAAATATGGTAATTGAAAGGATTGACTTGAATCTCTCTCTGTTATAGTTCAGTTCAGCTGAAGAGATCAGAAGCAGAGTCCAGCTGTGTGTCTATCAGGAGTGATGAGTCTATGGGTCGTATAATATCATTTAAGAGTGGAGATACAAAGACTGATCTCAGGTCTAATATTTCTGTAAAAGATTATTTGATTTTGATACAGAATACATTAGCTTAGCTTATTTAATAATGCAGTATTTTAATTTTCCAGGCATGAAGTCCTCAACAGGTTTAGATCTAATCTGATGAAGAAGTTTGAGCATCTGTATGAGGGAACAGCGACGCAGGGAAACCCAACACTCCTGAATGAGATCTACACAGAGCTCTACATCACAGAGAGTGAGAGTGGAGAGATCAGTAATGAGCATGAGGTGAGACAGATTGAGACACAATCCAGGAGAGCAGCAACAGAGGACACAGCCATCAAATGCAGTGACATCTTTAGACCTTTACCTGGACAAGACAAAGCCATCAGAACAACATAAATGTGTTTGAGCCAGTCACCAAACAGAGTTTACGGTCTAAAGTGAAGGACCGGTTTCAACTCAGTTCATCAGAACATGTTTCATTGTCTGAGCTGCATCAGAGAGCTGTGGATGAGGCTCTACAGAGTAAAAATGGACATCTGGATCTTTTCCTGCGGTTCCTTCTGGGTTTGTCAGTGGAGTCTCATCAGATTCTTCTACGACAAATAATGCCACTGAAAAGAAGCAGCTCTGACAGCAATGAGAAAACAGTTGAGTACATCAAGAAGGTTTAGAGGTCAGTATTTTTATGTGTTTTATATCATATCAGTGACACTGTAAGATTCAGAGACAGAGCAGTGGCAGATGAATAAATTATTTGGGCTTGTCAATAATTTTTTTATTTTGTACTGTTCTCTGAGGTCCACTTATAATGTTGTCTCAAAGTTAAAGCTCATAAATCTTCAGTGCTGCAGATGTTGTCCAGAGTTTAGAGGTCAGTATTTTTATGTGTTTTATATCATATCAGTGACACTGTAAGATTCAGAGACAGAGCAGTGGCAGATGAATAAATTATTTGGGCTTGTCAATAATTTTTTTATTTTGTACTGTTCTCTGAGGTCCACTTATAATGTTGTCAAGATTTTTACATTAAAAAAATCAGAACGCTCTGTTTGAATAGATGTGGAGGATTGTAGACTCAGAAGTAAACACACACTGCTGTGATTGGCTAATAGTTGTGTGTTTGACAGTCTACGTCCGTCACAGATGGACGCTGCTGTGATTTTAGGTCAAAAACACATAAATAACTCAATACATATCAAACGATCTGTAAGAAGAGACAAAGCAATAGTGATCACGTAATACAAACAGTTACTCACACTTGTGTGGTGCCACATCAGATCCAATATAGTCGACACAACATCATCTTTTAGTTTCGATCTTTCTGAAAATCCCACGTCAAATTGTGCCTTATTTGTAAATGAATCCGCAGTAAAATGAAGTGAAGAAAAGACAGATTTCTTACTGACGCGGTCTGGATCTTCATTAAAAATAAAGTTCATTCACTCTTTCATAACATTGGGATCAGAAGGAAGGCAATGCAAAGACTGTTTTTTCCACAGCTTGGCACTGAACAGCATCTTCTTGTTTTCAGAGCATCTTTATCATTGGGTTTCTGTATAGACCTGCATGTTTGTCTCTCTCGTAAACACTGTATGTGTGAATCGGTGGGCGGAGCTAAACAGGCAGCGATGTCAATCTTCTTCTGTGGAGGCGGAGCTTATTCACACTATTACATCATAGAGTAGAACATTCCTCAAGCTGTGGTTTTGTCAGACTAGCTTCAATAAAAGCTGTTTTTAGACTAACGACAAAGTTTTGAGTTCTGATACTTACAGGATGTTTTTATAGTACAATGTCCTCTTATGTTAAAAGATCAAGGGGATTTTGGTTTCTCAGTTCATGACCCCTTTAAACCTCTGACATTGTGCTACAAAGTAATATTATTTATCTTTCTTAAATCAGGCTCATGTTTTTGTTCTGTGACTTTTTAGATCTCAGTCCATTGATCCATCAAACATGTTTATTTGTGTTTTGTGATTTGTATTTATACTTTATTCACAGCTAATCTGATCTGATCTGAGAGAGTGAAGAGTGTGTCATTGTTCTCTACAGGTTGAGTTATTGTGGCGTCACAGATAAAGGTTGTGCTGCTCTGGCTTCAGCTCTGAGATCAAACCCCTCACACCTGAGACACCTGGATCTGACTGAGAATAAACTAGAAGATTTGGGTGTGAAGCGTCTCTGTGCTGGACTGGAGGATCCTCACTGTAAACTAGAGAAACTGTGGTAAGATTATATATGACACACTGTAAAATATTTGTGAAGTGAAAAACAAATCACTCAAAAAAGTCTGAAAACACAATAAGTCAGACAAAATGTAAAACTTAGGTATTGTTTGTGAATGGAATACTTACTATTGATTGGATGAGACAACTGTTAATCAAGATACAGAGATACAGAAAATACAACATTGAGTGGCTTTGTTTCTTGTTCATGTGTGGACGTCTGTGCTCATGTTAAAGCTGTTTCTGCATTAGCAACACCTTTAAACGGATTGTCTGTTTACACTAAGTGCTAATAGCCCGTCTTGTTAGCAAAGGCTTGACTGTTAGCAGACAAAATTTCTAAAGAAACCAGTCAGATAAGTGGGAGAGTAAGGACAGTGGGCTTTTGAGGCGAACCGACCCGAGTACAAATCTGTATTTCTTCTCATTTATTCCATTGTATATGAGCTCAGAGAGGTGTTTATATTAAAAAAACATAAGAAAATATTCAAAACATGGAAATAATGTCATACATGTATATAATTGAAATTGTATGTGGTTGATCAGATGGGCTGTGAATCAACCACAATTAATTATTTTTTTTTTTTGAATGAGGCTTTAAATGATTTATGATCATGTTTTTTTTTGTTCTTTGACATTTTAAATCTCAGTCCAATGATACATCATACATTGATTTGTACTTTCTCTTTACTAATGGATTCACAGCTAAACTGATCTGATCTGAGAGAGTGAAGAGTGTGTCATTGTTCTCTACAGGTTGAGTTATTGTGGCGTCACAGATGAAGGTTGTGCTGCTCTGGCTTCAGCTCTGAGATCAAACCCCTCACATCTGAGACACCTGGATCTGTCTGGGAGTAAACTAGGAGATTTGGGTGTGAAGCATCTCTGTGCTGGACTGGAGGATCCTCACTGTAAACTAGAGATATTGCTGTAAGATCATCTCTCTGATAGTCTCATGTCTTTGTCTTCAGTAAGATGTGTCTTTAATGTAAATTCTGACTAGACACACTAAATCTCAGCACAAATGACTGAAGATGAAGTTCATTTCATTCATCTTCATCACATCACATGAGCTCTTGCTCCTGTTTTTGGCCACCAAACATTTACTGGAGCTTCGGAGCTTCAGGCTAGTTTGATTAATACTCCTTCACCTGCCCATCTCTGTGTAAGAGTTTATTTTCCTCTTATTTTCCTCATTTTCTGAAATCCCATGAGCTCATTGTGTTCTCACAGATGTCGTAAAGATTTAACCTGAATGTTCAGATACTAATGTGTGATTTAATGATTTCGGTTCAGTTTATAAGCTGCCAAACATGATACAATTATGTGTTTGATCACAAGAGTTAATAAATGAGATGTAATGGGGAACACGTGGCTCCTGTGAAGCAAATGTCCTCCTGTAGGTGTTTATTAGAGGAGCAAGTGACTGTTTCTCCAGACAGATCCGTCCTTATCAAAGACTATAGAATACCCAAGACGTGTCACTCGTATAGTTCTGAATGGGGAAAAATGCAACGCTCAATATGGACGCTCTATTGAATGAAGCCCAGCCTTCTGAGTAAAAGAGCCAATCCCTAATCAGTGAAGTCTGCAGCTGCGGTCAGAAGTCCTGGCTGCTATAGAAACAGTCAGCGTTCTGAGACACGCGCTCAGGACTGTGCATGCGCACTGGCTGATCTGGCCTGAAAAATAAGCTTTTTAACGCTATTTGAGCAAAACAAACAACCGTTATGATACAGTTGTTGTCAGATTTCATTGATTTCAAATATGAAATTTAATCATAAGCTTGATCACCAGTTTTGGAGAATTTGATATTTCCCCATTTAAAGAGATAGGAGCTGCACTTGCATGCCCGAGAGGCGT